GCCAAAGTCTGAAAGTAGATTATCTGTAATGCATATAATTAACATAGGACTAATATCTAGACTATATAAAGAACTTCTACAAAACTATAAGAAAAATAAACAATCAAATAGAGAAACAGGCAAAGGATAGAAACTGGAAATTGAGACAGAAAATCTGAATTATCAATAAAAATATGAAAAGACGATCAACTTCAATAGTCATCAGAAATATTCAAACAATGAGATACCATTTCGTATCCACCAAAAGATGTGGAAAAACAAGTACTCTCACAAACTACTAGTGCAGGAGTAAACTGGCCCAACTACTTTGGAGAACAACTTGATTGCTCTAGTAAACTTGAAGATCCGCACACACTGCAACCCAGCAATTTCCCTCCTAGGAATACGCTCAGCCTAGAGGAACTCTCACATGGGCACACGGGCATTCACTTCACTTCATCTCTGTTTATAAAAGCAAAAAACAAGGAACAACCCAAATACCCATCAATAAGAAGAACTGAAAAATAAACTAAGGTATATTCATACAAGGGAAACTTACACAACAGTTAAATTAATAAACTGAATTCAAGTATCAATATGAAAAAATCTTACAAACATAAGGGGGGGAAGCAAACTTACAAAATGATGAATACTGGAAGATATCATTTATTAATACATAAAACAATGCTTTATACAGTTTATGGATAGACATATAGGCAGCACAAATATGAAAGTAGAACAGGTCTATAACGTAATAATAACAATTGTTACCTATACTGAGGAAGGAAGGGGAATGGAATGAGGAGAAAAATCTAAAAGGGACTTCGACTGCACCTGTCACACAGGAGCTCCCCCTCATCCATGGCTTCACTTTCCGCAGTTTTAGTTACCTGTCATCAGCCACGGGTCTGAAAAGGTTAAATGGAAAATTCCAAAAATAAACAATTTATAAGTTTTAAATTGTGTATCCATGCTGTACATGCTCCCCCCGTTAGTCACTTAGTAGTCATCTCGGTGATCAGATCAGCTGTCGTGGTATGTTAGTGCTTATGTTCGTGTAACCCTTATTTGACAATAATGGCTCCAAAGCGCAAGGGTAGTGATCTGGCAATTTAGATATGCCAAAGAAGCTGGAAAGTGCCTTCTTTAGGTGAAAAGGTGAAAGCTCTTCACTTAGTAAGGGAAAGAAAAAAATCATATGCTGAGGCTGCTAAGATCTACAGTAAGAAAGAATCTTCTATTTGCAAAATTGTGAAGAGGGAAAAAGAGATTTATACTAGTTTTGCTGTCACACCTCACACTGCAAAAGTTACAGCCACAGTATGTGATAAATGCTTATTTAAGATGGAAAAGGCACTCAATTTGTGGAAGACATGAACAAAACGTATTGTAAATGATGGCATTAGGTTCAGCACTATCCTTGATTTCAGGTGGCCATTGGGGATCTTGGAAAGTATTCCTCACAGATAAGGGGAACAGGTTGAGCACCCCAAATGTGAAATGCTTCAAAATCTGAAACTTTTAGAGTGCAGAAATTATGTTCTAGGGAAATGCTTATTGAAGCCTTTCAGATTCTAAATTTTCAGATAAGGGATACTTAACCTGTGCTGTACTTTATTTCTAAAAAAAATTTCTTGCAAATAAAGCAAGAATGTTAATATTTGTTAAATCTAAACAGTAGACACACAATGTTTATTCTTTTCATTCCTTTCTGTATATTTAATTTAGACTACTTCAACAGCAGTTACGTCAAGGGTCACATTCCCCTGCGTTGTCTACTTTAACTGGGTACTTTTCAAAGCTATAGAAGTTACAGAGTAAGGAAACATAAATTGGAAGAGAAGAATAGTAAAACTGAATCCTCAGTCTGTAATATTTTTATTAACTCTCAAGTTTCATATGTCAAAGCAACTCTGACTCTAGGTCCCGACACCTTTTCACTCAGGATTTGCATAAATCAGCAAGCAAATGCAGTATAAGTTTCAGGAGTGAGTTTGAGGACACTGCTGGTGATGGGAAGGGAGCCACCATCCTCATAGCTGACAAGTTATACTAATGCAATCAACCATCGAAATGAGCAGCTAAAACACTGCACCAGCCAACAATTATGTAAATCACAAGACAGCTGATCAAATCAGGCTCAAGCATATATCCCAAATGAAGAGGGCAGAGAGAGAGTTTTCCACCCAAGTGGCTCCCTATGACATTTTTTAGCGGTGGATGGGGAAAGAGAAGAGCTTAAGAAATCAGAGTGCAAGAATTAGGTACAGTGATATCTAAAACAAACAGAAAAAGGTAACCTTCTGAAATCCAGATCATATGGAAAAAACAACAAAAATAAATAAGAAGGCTGCCACATCCTTAAGTGTTTTTCTGAAGGTCACAAGGAGAGTAAGCGGCAGAGCCAAGTCTTCTTTCGGTCCCAGGCTAGACCCATTCATTCTGCCCTGCAGGGACTAAGGAGCTAGTCCACATAAACACATTTTCCTGAGAACTAAAGCTTACTTCTTTATGACCCAAAACTCACTTTAAAATGGCCACCAAAGATTTGTTTTCTTAGTCAGAATATGCCTCACATGACTAGCCTTTTCTTAATAACTTGAGGCTATTTTTATGAACTAAAAATACCACCATACATTTTCATAGCATTTAGTAATTACCTAATTTACTACTTATAACAACTAAGTCAGTCACATAAGACAAGGACTAAGCTCCCCATTTTACAGATGAAAAAATTAAGTTTCAGAGAGATTAAGTCAACTTAGGATCACAAACTGGCAAGGCTGAGACTAGAATCTAGTCTTCTTGGTTTCCACATTTGTCTCCTGGCTTTCCTACATTTGTTCCTATGATGAGTTTTAGATTAGCAGGTTTCCCAACTCCTCTCTGAAGCTGGTCCTCCTCACTTTTCACTAGTAGGTTGGTGGGCACTCCTAATCTTCTCTTTTAGGAATCACATCTCTGTGCGCAGGCCTGGAATGTTCTCTGCATTCCCCGCAACGTATCAAAAGGGAGCATCCCAGAACCTAGAACTCAAATGACTGTGATTTGCTTCTCACAAGTCTTTTCTTACTCAAATACACTTCTTCACAGAGTCTTTCAACAAATACTTAAGTGCCTAACAATGCACCAAATGCTGGGTAGTCAGAGGATATAAAGACAAATAGACGTGACACCTGTCCTCAAGGGAAAGGCTGGCAAAGGCAGACACTATGTTAATTCTACCTGTCTACCAATGAAGGGGGGATAATATCCCATTACAGTAAACAACTACCCAGTGGTAACTGAGTAAATTAGGTTTTGTTACTGTGATATTGTAATATAATAAAAAACATATGTTTGGTCTCTCCCCCAGTTCCTGGCATAGAGCTTCTAAAACCCTTACAATTTCCTGAGCCACACGGGTGCTAGGAGCATTGTTTTATTCTAATATTTGGTCTTTAACTCCAATTCCTGACATAGAGCTTCCAAT